GGTCAAGAACAACATGGTCAGGCATAAACCCACAGATTGTTAACAATCCAACATGGCAAACAAGCGATGTGATAGGTATAAATGATTGTTATGCCAAAGGAGAGAATGATTGATTTCCTGATTACCCAAGGAAACTTCCACATAGGAAATCATTTCTAATCTGGGTCCTTAAATTTCAGTCGAAATTTGGTGAGCAAGAAGTCAGAAAGCAGAACGTCCTTGACAGACCCTGGATGGAGGTAGAGTTGGCAAAGGATGAGTAGATGAGGATGCCCGGGGTGTGAGAGGCAGAAATCCAAGCATGGGATGAAGCTGGAGAGGTGGAGCACATTGGGGTTCTTTGTAAAGGCCTTGAATGCCACTCTGAAAACAAATGGCCTTTAGTCTATAAACAATGGAGACACTGATGGTCTTTTAGCAAAGAACGGACGGGATGCAACTTTGTAGAACATCACAAGCACAGTGAGAAGACAGACAGGTGCTTTAAGTAGGTAGGACTTCTTGTTCTTTCAAAATCTCAGAAAGAAAATGATCTTCTTCCATCTCAGTTTTGCTTAGTTCACACAGAAATACTTCATTTGTTGTTTGGCGGCACATGAGGATATGAGAAAGATAAACACAGTGTCCCAGGAAGTTTACAGAAGTATTTGAAGAAAATAAAGTAATAAATATGGCAGGTAACCCATTTGATAGCCCAGAGCTCCAGGAAAGACTGTGGTCAGCAGCACTGCCATATTGATGTGTGCGTTCCACCCGCACTGTGCTATATCCAAGGAGTCCTGGTGGTGCTGTTTGGTAAGTGTCGGATTGCTAACCGTAAGGTTGGCAGTTCAAACCCATTGGGCACTCCACAGGAGAAAGATGAAGCTGCCTGTTCCTATAAAGATTTGCAGTCCCAGAAACCCTACAGAGAGTTATTATGATTCAGAATAGATTCAATGGTAGTGGGTTTGGCTTTAGGTTTCTGCTACCTTCACACAAGGGACTATGATTCCCTACACCACTGTTATATCCTGCTGGATGGATATGTTCTGCCTCACATCCAACCCATCCACTGGTGGGGTCATCCTCCACCCAACACCTGCCACATCCATGCCTCAGTGTGGGCATTTTCCATATCATCGATGCCATATCCAAAACCAAGCCCTAAGCAACGAGTTGTTCTCACCCCCACTGCTATCTGGATTATAGACGCGGGCCCAGAAATACGGTGGTGGGTGTCACAAACCAGGAAAGGAGGACTGACTCAAATTTGCTCAGAGGTAGGATCATGGAACGCTTAGTGTTGAAGGAACAATAAGGAAAAGAGAAATAAACTGAGTCATCAGTGGATGAATATATGAAGAGATGTATAAGAAACCATGAGTTAGGAAAGAGAAGTAAAAAAAAAAAGCTTCAAAAGGAAGAAAATATGACAGCAAACATTTCAAACAATTAAAGGGCAAAAAGAAGCTTGTTTATTGCCTCCCAACCCCGCACCAACACACACACGTTCCTCATTGCTTTTGGTAAGTAGCTAGCGAAATCAGAACCTTGGTCCTAAAAGAGAATGTCTTCTCAGTTTTAACACCTAGTAGACTACGTCCTAAAGCACATCCAGGTTTATCTTCAGGGAAACCCAATCCACAAGATAAGTCATTAAACAGCTGGCCTCTTTGTGACTACATCTCTATCTTGCGAATTCACCCTTGGCAGAACCGGGGATGGGAAATCGCATTTTCCAAATCTGAAGACCGTGTAGGGTAGACAATTGGGTAGAAGTAAAATAGTCTTCAGAATTATGTTGACGTTTCCAAGAGCTTTATTGGACATTCATGAAGATAGCTCCCATCACTTAGCCTTGGGCCACTCTGATTATTATGGCTTCCGAAGACAGGTCTCCTAAGAAACCAGTCTGATGGTTGTTTCGAACGAGCATTGCACACCCTCACCCGGGCAAGACGCAAACCAGCAGACACGTTGCTCCCTCTCTCAACTGCACAGACCAACAGGGGGCTGAAAGTGGTATGGGGCAGCCCATTCAACAGCACTACACGGGGTCAATCATTAAGATAAATAGCAGTTACTTCTCTTCAAGATACGCTGGGAACAACCCTCCGCCCAGCTCTAGGAACACACGCATGTGCAGGGAACAAAGAGCGAAGCCACAGCTAAACACCACTGGGAGGAAAATGAAGGCCATCACACACCAGTCTCCTTGGCTGGGTACACAGGGGCGGCCCTCTAATAACACAGCAAATGGCAGGCCTGTGCTGATAGGCCACCCAACTGTATCCAACAAGAGGTACTGTGTACTCTGAAAGCCACCAGCACACCAAGGCCCTTATTTGCAGCCCAGGACATACTTGTGAAAACCTTTCACAAATCAGGAGGTGAGTGCGGAGTACAATTATTGCGGTAGGGAAACGGATTTATGCTCCCATGTCCCCATTGAAGGAAAAATAAGAAAGAACCATCGAGTATAAAGGTTCAGAAAATGAGCAGGTACACGAGAACTTTCAGCATGACACTGAATGGGACAGAAGGAAAGATGGGAGGCTTCAAATGGGTCTCTTACCTTTTTGTCACTCAGTCCAGAAACCTGGTCAACGTACTCTTCTTGGATCATGAAGGCAGCTAAGTTGGCAGTGTAGCTGGCCAGGAAGATGACAGCGAAGAAGGCCCACACGGACACCATGATCTTGGAGGTGGTCCCCTTTGGGTTCTGCACGGGCACGGAGTTGTTAAACACCAGACCCCACAGTAACCAAATTGCTTTGCCAATGGTGAAGGATGGGCCGCCAGGTTCTGATGAGACAAAGAGATCAGGACAGAACGTTAAGACAGGGGGTTTGGTTCAATTTAAACCCACAAGTGCACAGAACACATAAGCTCCCAGCACAGTAGGGAATCCTCTAACCAAGACCCAGTCCCTTTCTCCATAGCTTTTAAATGTAAGAGCTGGTGCCTCTTGATTCCCGAGACCTTCAGGAAAGCAGAAGAGGATCCCAGAGGGAAAGCTAGGGGCTCTTGGTGTGTGCAGCAGTCCCGACTCACGGCTGTGGGAAAGAGAGATGCCTGATTTCTGTATCCAAGACGCTCAAGGTCACATCAAGACGAAAGAGCAAGCACCCTCTCTCCCATCACCACCCACCTGGTGTCCTTCACTGTGTCTTCCAAGTAAGCACTGTCACCTCAGAAATGACCATCAAGCATTGTGGGTTCTTTTGAGGGTTCTCCTCTCATTCCTTTCATCCTAATGTGGGGCGCCCTGGAATGTACTTTGTTCTGATTTGCCACTGGCTTCTTCCGGCATTTAGCCAACCACCCAACTCTTCCAAGAAAGCCCTCTATGGCACGTATCGCGACCCCGCTCCAGCAGCAGCATCTCCCAACTTGTCTTCCATGGCAGTAGTGTCTGGGTCCTGAGTATCAGGAGGACCAAGGAGGGAGCTGGGTCTGCTGGCCTACCCACAAACATCCGAGGAGGACACGGTTAGAAGTCTGTGACTTCCCGCCACATCATCTTGACACAAACTAACCCGGGACCTTCAAACGAACATTTATTGTGACCTCACAGCTTTTTCTGTTTGGTGGTAGGGAGATCTTTCCAGATGTCTGGGTTTCCCTGGGGCCCCTCTACTACAGAAATGAACATCTGCCCACACAGTTTTACAACAGATCAATACAGGTCTGACTACCTGTGATAGCATCTGCTCGGCACACTAAATCACCAGTGACTACACATGTCACGCCTAATCTCCAACTCTGCACACACATCTGTGCATGTGGACCTGATTTCATGGAGCAGATGCATAACGGGAAAGTTGTTTATAAATCAAAGTTTTGTAAATTGTCAAATGCCCTAAGGATACTTGAGAGTTAATGCAGCCCCGTGTTGAATTCCCTTGTGAAGACAAGCATCATTTGGTAAAGTGAAAGATGGTAGGCCTTAGCCCTGAGTTCTCTGGATCTGGATTTTCAACAGACTGGTTTTCTTTACGAACCATGAGGTCACCCTAAATGTATGTATGAGAGTCCCAGGGGCGTCTGTGTGAAGATTACATCACAGTGCCTGCCACTGTCAACCTACGTGTCTATCTCCATGTGCCTTCTCACTTTTTCCTTTGTTAGTGGTGCCCCTCAGAGTGAGAAAGAGGTCATGACCCTTTGGCTGAAGTAAAGATAACCAGGCTCTGACCTCAGAATGACACCCCTGCAAACACTTCAGGGGAGTGGTGCTTCACAGGTGGGGCTCATCAATAGAAGCCCTAGGGGAGCTTGACCAAAGTCCTGATGGCGAGCTGCCCACCTCCCAACTTCGTATTTAATGACGTTGGGATGGGACTGGTGGTTCTAGTGGGCAGCCAAAGTAGGGAACCACTCCTGTGAAGCACACGGTGGTCCAAGACTCACCACGGACTTGGTGAATCCAAATGTCAGAAATGAAGTCTGATCATCTCCTGTCTTTTAAGAGTCCCATAGATCATTTTTAAGTGTGGCCAGGGTTAATAATCTCTCTTCCTCGAGGGGTAATTCCAGGAAAAGGTCACAATTTAGGTGGAGGAAGTTTAGCGGAGGCAGAATGTTTCCTAATGGTCGAGGTTCTCGGGAAGTTTGGGAGGAGCTAGTTATGAGGGTCCCATGACTCCCTTCAGAAATCCTTGATGAACTCCGTGTAAAGTCTATAAACACCTTTACACATTGGCCAACCTAGACTGGAAATTGGACACCCTGTATCTATTGGTGAGAATTGGTGTGGCAGTTACATAATCTGTTGTCAATTTGAGAATTAAAGGGAAGGGGTGGAGTTTAGCCTGTCAATCAATTCGCAGCTTGATGACCTCATTTGGAGGCGCAACAGAGATAAATAGCTCACTGGAGGTCAGACCCACACTCACTCCCTGTGAGACATTCCTGTGGACAAGACACATGGAGCTACGCTAGAGCCCTGGAGCTGGAGGAGCCATGTGGAAGACCTCTGCCAGCGATGAGATGTTTCCACTGCCACTGGCGTGTGCTCTTCCTGCACTTGATGGCATTGCATGTGCTGTGTAAGTCTGAAGAGGACTTTATAGATTGCTATCAGACATAAGGGCTAATATTGGACTTATGGACTTGATCTGGACTGGGCTGGGATCTTTTCTCAATATTCAATTGCTCTTGTATATAAAGCTCTTTCTTATACACATGAGTGTCTATGAATTTGTTTCTCTAGTCTACCTGGTGACCCATGTCCACTTGATTTTTCCATGCCCACCAAATGACCAATTTCTCTAATTCCTGTCATAGGTGTTTGAGTCAGGGACCCATGTTTTGGTGAGCTTGTCCCTCAGTCCTGTCCCTTTGCCTAGGGTGAACTCTAAAAGCTACAACCATTCTATATATGCCCTGGGATGCCCTGTTTTCCTTATTCTTCATCTGTGTCTACAATCTGCCTTTTAAGTCACCTCTGTTCAGATAGACTGCACACAACCTCAGATTATCAAAACAATTCATTCCAACATGCTTGCATGATCCACATGTACTCCTGCTAGCCTTTCTTGTATTCTGTCCAAGGGTGAAATTGTTGCTTGGAGCCAGACTTCATCGAGGGAGGAAGAATATAGATTGCAACTAACATCTTAGTTGGGGGAGTTCCTAAAGAGCCCCAGGGCCATGATATAGAAAGTGGAGGGTTCATTTGCTGGAACAGGCAAGTTAAGGAGGACGGAGATCCCAAGTGAAGGTACAGAGATTGCGAATTCAGAGCACGAAAAAATGCAGCTGTGTGATGATTCCTGTGGGTCTTACCTCTGCCATCAGCAAGGCACCTGTTATACCCCACAGGGCTGAAGTACTCAAAGACAAAGACAGCCACGGCGGAGACGATGAGCAGCATCACAAACATCATAACCCAGACGTCAGCACTAAATGGCTCTGGGGACAGGGAAGAAAAACAGCGCACAAGGTTAAAATAGACAGCAGGCAGATTCTGTTTAATTCAAACAGTCATTTGCTCACGCAAACCCACGATTCTGGGGGTGTGGCCATTAGATGTTCCTTCAACTTGAACCTCTGTGAAACCGTTGGGGTGAAGTCCAACCTGTCAGTCAGGTGGTACCTGGTGACGTCTCTTTGAGGAAGCAGCCTTTTTATAAGTGAGACACTAGAAACTTTGCTCCTCTCTTCTGGTCCTTCCTCTTCACTGGGACTCTGTCTGCCTCCAGGGGTGGCCCCTGTGGGTCAACAGCCTGGAGAGTTGTCAGTTCCCTACAGTGTTTCCACTGATTTTAGATCCATCAGACTCGGCACCCACCAACCTGTGATCTCCCTGCTTCCTGCTGCCCCATCCTTTATCATTGGCCTGCAGCTATGTGAGTCTGAAGAGGACCTTGGCCAGCACTGGATGCAAGGACTTGAGTTGGACTGGGATGGGATGCCTTCTTGGTATAAAACTACCCCTCCACCAGTTTTATTGGCACATAATTTATGTATCATACAATTTGATAAATAGCTCCATCATATCACAGTCACCCCCACATCAAGCTACTTCTTGATATCAAGTTCCTTCTTTTGCATAGAAGAATGTCACTGGTTTTGTTTCTCTAGACAACCCAGACTAACACAGGGGAGGAAACCAAGCACAAGCATACGGCATGCCTACCGTCAGACAGCACCACCTGGGGAGGAGTCAGATGCTGTCTGAGCATCTCCATCCCCAGAGGGGGCTGGCCAGAGTGTGTTTGCTCGCTGTTTTTTCCTCTTTGTACACACAAGGGGCAAACAAGCTCATACTTGTTGCTTTGGGGCTGTACAAGTAGTTCTTGATGATGTGAGACCAATAGCTGGGCATTAAATGAAAGGTGCAAGTGGAAGAAGTAGCACGGAATACGTAGCAAGAAAATCATACTAGACTGACCCTTGGTTTGTGTGTCTCATCGAGGTGCTCACACCACACAGAGAGACCTGGAAAAGCCTTTCCTGTGCTTATGAGCCTTTCCGACACATCCACTCTTAAACAGAGTTAGTTACTATTGGGGGCATGAGTTGGGTCAATAACAATTATGGACAATGAATAACTTGGTTGCACCCTGACCCCCATTGCTCTTTTCTTAAACTTCCCAGCCTAGACTGACTTTTTCAATAAAATCCACTTAAGTGAATACTTCATTAAATACCATTAGGAAATAAGAATACAAATCACTGGTGAAGACCCAGCCACACTGAATCCCAGCACCTGCAACAGTGGAAACTAACAGGTAACAAAGGAACAGGTGTAAACTATAAGGAACAACATAACTACAGCTAAGGCCTATTACTAGAGTTGATCAGCCAAGGCCAAGCATGGTAGGAAGAATGTTCTATACATGATTTTCTGCACTCTTTAATCATTTTCACTGATTGTCTTCCAATTGATCTGTATCTCTTTGGCTTTGAGGTGTCCAGAAATGGAACCCTATCTCCAGGAGTCATTTCTTTGAAGTCCTATGAAAAGGGACAATTACTGGATGGTCTCAGGGCTCCCTCAATTATTTCTCTAAATAGTCTTGGCCTTTGTAGCTGTCATATTACATTGCAAACTCATAAGTAAGTGAATTAACATGTCATTTTCTCCATCTTCGAAATGATTAATAGTGAGGAAATTGAAGAAAAAAAAAGGAGGGGATAGGGAATTGGCTGAACATTGGAAAATATTTTCTTACTGTGAACCTGATTTACCAAGACCCAGTCATAAGCCATTTTAAAGGGGCCTTGATACAGCCCCACGTCTTAGAACAAACTCACTATGAAATGCAAACCTGCTGGTGGCAACCAGAGCTGCAAAAGCAGGGTGAACTGACAATCCCAGTGTCCGTACAGGAGCATGGCGAGCCCGCCTCTCCGAGACACTCATGAACTTCATTATCCCCTCCCCCCAATTTCATTTGTATATTGGTCTGCACAGGTTAAAAACTTCTTTCACCATATAGTTGAGAGAATCCTTTGAAGGACTCTTTCACTATGGGATTATCATCCCTGTTTTAGAGAGGAACAAAGTAAGACTCAGCGGTCAAGGTCTTTTCTAAGTTCACACTCACAAAGTGGCAGGTTAAGAAAAGAGGTCCTTTGAAGAAAAAGTCTGTGTGTCCCCCATTGTATTACCTTGCTTCTTAGCATCCTCTCACCGCAGGGACTCCTGCACGGGGGCTCAGAGGCCTCATGGGAACTATGAACGGACTGGGAGGCAACCACCCACTGGGACTGGCACTGAGTCGATTCTGACTCACAGAGACCCGTACCCAAGGCTGTCCATCTTGATGGGAGCGGGCTAGCTCCGCTTTCCTTCCTCAGAGTTCCTGGAGGGCTTGGACCAGCAGTCCTGTGCTTAGCAGTCCAACGCTTAACCAAAACGACCACCAGAGTGCCACTGCGGCGTTTAACCTTGGCTCTACCAGTTATTCCCTAAAAGACTATTTGAAAGTGGCTTAAACTGAGTTTCAGTTTCCTAGGTCCTGAAGTGGGTATAACAATAGTACAAATGGCACTCATACATGGTATGTAATGACAGGCAGATAAGAGGTGTTCAATAAGTATTGGCCTAGCTTATTCCTGAAACTAACCCCCACCCCAAACAATAAACACACAAAGCCTAGTATGTCTATGTCACGCTCGAGCTATACTGATGCCCCGTGGCTTTCCCAGTTCTGAAGTGAAGGCAGCGCCACACTGAGAGTAGAATAAGAATGCAGTTGCCTCTGGGCCTCTCTCTGTTAGAGTTCGCCTTCTGATCTCCAAAATAATAAAGGCCAGGAATTGGACTAAAGCAGCGCCCCAGATAATTTGCCCTGTTTCATGCTTCCGGGTTTCCTGTCTGTAGGTGGTACAGTGAATGGCTTGCTATGGCTCTTCTAGCCATTGTGTTTGTCATTTTCACCAAATGACTTGGTTCCTGATGGAGCCGATGAAGGCAGATGCGACTGGAGTGGTTGCGAACATTTGGAACACTAAAATGTGGCTAGGTCAATTCTGTGATTTTACTGGTACAAAATGTATCATCTTAGCTGCAGAAGGGGGGTTCCCACTATCATCAAGAAAGGAAAGCCAGGAGTAAATTACGTCCTTTGGATCCTAAGAGCCTCATACTCTGAACTTGGATCGCGGGGCAGAAGGGAAGTTGTGATCCCAGAGAAGCAACAGTAGGAGCCTAACCAGCAGCCAGCATATGAGACAGAGCAGTGGGCTTTGTAGTTCATGGAGCCAGTAAAGCCAAGTTTCATCTGGCGGAAGGCTTATTTGTGGAAAGGCATGTCTGGGGGAGCTAGGTTTGCCGACCCAAAGAGCTAATGTTGAGCACCTTTGAGTCATGGCTTATAGCAAATCCTAACCAACCAAACTCACTGCCATCAAGTCAGTGCTGACTCCTAGCCACCTCCTTGTGCATTTCCAAGACAGTAACTGTTTATGGAAGTAGAAAGCTCAGTCTTTCTCCCGAGGGATTGCTGGTAGTTTTGAACTTCCGACCACGCAATCACAGCCCAATGCGGAACCACTATACCACCAGGGCTCCAGCCCTTGGCAGAGTGGAGCTAAAAGAGCTTTGCAATATAACATGAGCAGGGCAGAGGCCAAGGATGAGAGAAAGGCCTACTTGTGGGCATAGCTTAGAAGAGGCTTGCCTGACCAAAGAACTGTGCCTGGAGCATTTCTGATCTTGAATTGTAACTGGTGAACTTCCCTAATAAAGCTCATAATCATGAGTGTGATGCGTGAGTTCTGTGTGGTCACTGCAATGAATTATCAAACCCAGCAGGATAGAGAGTGCTGGGCAAGGTACTGCTGGTGTCTGAACCAGTTAAGGAAAGTTCAAGGGTAGAGACACATCTGACCCCCATCTCATGGGAATCAGTCAAGGATTCCTATGTGGAGCTTGATTCTCCTTCCCCAGGTTAAGTCAGAAGAGGTTAGATGCTGTTTCCATGCCCTTCTTACAGTGTGTACCATTTTTTGTGTTTGTCAATAGTGGGTTTCAGATACCATGGGCTCAAGTAGAAGAAAAATGTTTTGCCAATGTCCTGGCAACAAAGGTACAAATGTGCTCGACACAATGGATGTATGTATGATTGTGATAAGAGCTGTATGGGCCCTCAATAAAATGACTTTAAAAAAATAGTGGATTTAGAAGTTTCCAAGATGACTGCCGAGTTAGTTTCTATCTGAAAGAACTTGGTGACGTGCTCCTTCAATCGTCCCTTGTGCCTTCTACGTGGTCTTATGTCTGTCTCCTGCACACCAGTCAACATAGTTACCTAAAAAGGCAGACGGTGAGACTGTCCCATTACTTCGTGACACCATGACACTGATGCCCGTTTCTATGAAGGGCACGGAGAAGTCGACCACCTCAGACCGCTCCTCATTGATGGTGAGCGACCCCACTGCCATGTAAGCCCTCTTCATGACCACCTGGGGAGACAGGAGAACTCTGATTAGAACACTCAGAAAGGCAGGGACCCCAAGAGAAGAGCATTCACAACCCAAATTGCTTATCTTTGTATGGTGGGACCAGCTCTTGCTGTCGATGGTTTTGCATTGCTTTTTAAATATCCAAAATGAGCATTTGCAAAGTATATTTAGCCGAAACTATCAGAAACTGGAAGTGGGCCCGCCTTCCTGCCACTCACCTCGCCAATCATCCCATTCCAGGTCCCGTTGATTTTCTTCCCATGCTTCCCATTGGTCACCAGGTAAAGATCATAGGTGAACTTCACCGATTTAGAAATTTTCTTAAGGATGTCAATACAGAATCCCTTGCAGCATTTTTTGATGTAACCTGGCTCTTCGTCGGTTTTATTCCTAACCAGTTAAAGAAACAAACAAAGACAACAGCACAAACACAGAAAACATTCAAGGCTTTATCCAGCAGGCAAACAATGACTTTGATGATTCAAATTCCATCCCCAAAGCAAGTGCCCTTCATCAATCAGTACAATTTATATCAGACCCAGTGAGGAAAGAAATGTGACCATTGGACAGCCATGCTCACACCACGGCACCATGTTTTCTCACCGTTTTACTGTTTCTTTGAAGTGTAACATACCTCAGAGAAGGATACATATCCCAGGGGTTCAGGCTGTGGAGTTTTCACAAATTCAACCCATTTGACCAGCTCCAAGACCCAGAGACAGTAAGCTGCTGGCACCCTAGAGGCCTCTGCTGCTCGCTGCATATGCTTGCCACCCTCACCGAGGAGCATGCCCTCTGACAGCACAGATGACTTCCATCGATTTCTCAAGATGTTTCTGAATTTCACATTTTCAGAATGTGCTGGCTCAAGGACATATATTCCAATTCCCATACTGAATCGAAACCTCCACAAACCAGGGATGCCTGGTCATGGAGGTCGTGCAAGGCCAGAGAAATGCAACTATAGTTACAGTTATTCTCCCAGGCCCTGCTCTAGACAGAATCCGACAGCAGACCAGGGAGCTGCCAGTCACTCCATAACTCAATAGTAAGTGAAAAATCAGACATAGTGCCCACTTTATTCTCTGCTTCCCCTCCCAGGCCAGCCAGGTGTAACAGCTGGATCAAATCTGACCGTCCTGGGCCACCCAGAGTGACGAGGGGAGGTGACGTACTCGGTGACGATGCGTTTCTGGCAGGGGACGGTATTCCTCATGCAGGTTCCACTCAGAGGGTCGACGCTTTCGACAATGACAAATGGAGCCTCCTCCAGGGTCACGATGCTCAGGTGGTCATCCTCCTGCTCTTCTGTCTCGGGACACATGCGGGGCCACACGTAGTACTTCATCTGCAGGGACTTGTCTTTCCACTTCCCTACCTGGATGGGGAACAAACAGAAGGCTCAGAAACCACTGGCCGCAAACCTAGCATCACCCTCTCCGAGCATCCCCGGTGTCTCCCCAGGAGGCTACTCAATGAAAGCAAGCAGATGCAGGCATCCTGTCCCATCTAAGAGGGAAGCCTACTAAGGAACCCTACGCTCTGGCCCTCCAAAAGAGACCAAGGTGTTGGAGTCTAAGGGAGATGATGCAGTCATGCTCTTACATTAGACAGTCAAGCTCGTAACGTCTAAACCTTAGACAACCCACTCTGCTCCTGGCAGCAGGCTAAATATGTTTCCAAGCAGCCTCACTCTGCCCCGTGTCAGGTTCGCCCTGAGAGAAGGATTCAGAATCGTAAACAAACGTTTACAGAGCCGTGTGGTAAGTGTTAACACTGACACCTGTACCAAGGGCTGTGAGGATGCCAGAGTCGCCTGTGTTGTGTGTGCCTGTCAGCTCTTCTACTTAACGGGAACACGGAGCATGATAGTGAGAGCAGCAAATGGCTTTAGAAAGGTCAACAAAAATGACTGAAGCAAATGAGCCAGAAGGATGTGCTTTGGCTGGAAACAGAGGTCCAGTGGGGAGCTGAGTGGAGAACAGGGTGGATCTGAATGGGAGGAAAATGAGAAGTCAGGATTACAGAATATTGGCACAGCTTGGCTGGGGAAGGCAGGGTGGTTGGTCCTGGGATGAACACCATGGGTCACTGCAAGGAAGCACCTGCTGGGCCAGGTGAAAGCCCTGGGGTAACCAGACAGGTGGCTGTGAGCTGCCAGGTCTGGCCACGTGGCTACGCAGACGAAGTCAGCAAGCAGCATTCTTAGCCACTGCAGCACCACTATCAGAGGGACTCAATTGACTCGGAAGGCAAGGGGGCTCTGTGGGGGGTTTACTGGCACCCCGTGGAATCAAGCACATGAAGGTCTTGCTGCCCATCATCCGAAGTGTGTGTGTGTGATACGTGATGTGTTGGGAGGGCTTCATAACCTTTTAGCAGAGCCATTCATTCCTGTTTTTATAATAGAATCCACATGACCCTGTTGGGAAGTTCTTGTTCTCACTTTGTCACTGAGTTGACTGAAGCAAGAAGACCACCTCTTAATTTTCTTCATCTGTGACAAAGGATCACAGATTGCAAACTCCTGCATAGTCCCCATCCAAGAGAGCCTCCATGGAGAGACGCAAAGTGAGGCACCAGGAATATAAAACTACTTGATGTATGAAGTAGGTACTTCACATAAGAAACAATGGGTTGGCAGTAATTCATAATATTGTAATATATTTATTCTCTTAGATTTCAAGATGCATATAAAACCCAAACAGCACCTTTCTTTGGGCCTGCTTTTGCCTGCACTCAGGGACCCATCAAGTGTCTGCTTGGGTATATAGTCTGTACCCTCCTTCCCCTTGTCTCAGGTGTTGCCCACTTCCATGCCCTAAGGTGGCCTGCACAGCCTCGGCCCTCCTTTCACTGTCTCATTACTGCCCGGCGTCCTGGTGTCCCTGTTTGGCACCTCCACAGTCTCTCTTTAGCATGTACCCTATTGAGGATGGGTTTTCTCTCAAGTGTGCAAGGCAGGTGGTGTGTCCGGGTTCCAAATGACACAGTGGACCAAGCATTTCCTTTCCTTCTATGTAAAGTCTTCTCACGATTGTCAGTCTAATTTGGGTACCAACCTGAATGTTGCTAAAATGGCTTACCGTATGTACTCGTGTATAAGCCGAGTTTGTTGGCACATTTTAAATGCAGTTTTTGTGGTAAAATTCGGTGTCTCAGCTGACATTCGGGTCAGCTTATACTTGAATATATACGGTATTTTTGCAGCAGGTTGCCCAGTCATGTGGAGAGGAGTGACCTATGCCAGAGGTTACGGGAAGTGGAGAAGAAGACCTAGGCTTTAGGGCCCCTCAGGGCAGGTTGTTTCCAGCCTCAAGCACCTGTACTTGCTCCAGTGGCCAATCTTATTCTACTCTGTATTAAATGATGTGAAAAAGGCTGGAAGCTCTAACGTAACTATTGAAAAATTGCTGTCACTCCTGCCATCTTTCCTCTATAGCACCTTTTGACTTTACTCTTTCCAATCTAGATTTCTTCTCTTCAATAAGCCTTGCTGATGACAGTCCAGGAGCCCGTTCTAGGATGACATCAGGAAACTCCAAAGTCCACAGAAGGTTTGCCCCAAAGTCCACTGCGGCGCGGAGGCCAAATGACTCTGCAGCACCGTTCTTCTTGTAATTAATTCCCTGTCCAAAAATGTCCGCAACCTCTCAACATCTTCACGAAGGCACCCACTCTTTCCCCCTCCCAACCCACCTCAGTAATGCTGCATTAGTCTGGGAACTTTAGAGAAACAAATCCACAGAAACTCATGTATAAGAGAGAGTTTTATATAAAGGTTAAGTGCACATCAAGAAAACATCCCAACTCAGTGCTGCCCAAGCCCACAAGTCCAACATTAACCCACTAACCCATATGTCCAACACCAACCCACAAAGTCCTCCTCCATCTCACAAAACAGTGGCAATGGTGCCGACTGCAGGAGGAAAGCCGAATCAGTGAATGTGTAAGCATCTCAGCACTGGCAGGGGTCTCCACATGGCTGCTCCAGCACCCAGGGCTGCATCGGGGTAGGTCCATGTGGCTTCTCCTTGGGGATGTCTTGCAGGAAGTGAGCCTTGCCAGCTGAAGCAGGGAACTGCTAAGGCAGCTGCACCCTGGTCCAACCATCACAAAGCAAGAGACCCGAGAACTTGAAAGGCGAAGCTCATGGAGCCATTTATCCCTCCGCCCTTCAATTAACCCCACATGTGTTTATCAGCCAGGTTGGCATGATAAACTAACTCAAATGCTAACTTCACTTTTCCAGAATATGAATCCTCGGTTGGATTTGGAAAAGGAAAGGGGTGTTATTTTGCAGGGACATGAGCTAACCCAGGACAAGTGGCAGCATGTCGGCTGCATTGTCCTTTCTGTACTGAATCAGCAAACTATAAATGCTCCACTTACAGCATTTGGAGAAAGGCCCCCATGATTTTCTTGTGAGCAAGACAGAATATAATATGGATTCTTGAATACGCTGATAGATGTATAGGGGTTCAGAACCGCCCCCAAAGAAAAACAAGCAAATAATTGTTTAGTGAATCATTGCCAATATGGAAAGAGGTCTCTAGTAGCGAGCTGAGGGACTCTGTTCTTAGCATCAACTTGCACAGGGCTGGAGAAAGCAAACTAGAAGTCATGCTTACAAACTGCAGGTGGCACAGAGCTGGAAGGGACAGAAGATGTGCGGCACTGCAAGGTCAAGTGTGGAAGAGATAGGAATTAATTGGCATGATTGAACCAAATGGAAGGAGATTTACCACTGTATGTAAAGTCTCACATTTAGATGGTTTTTGTTTTGTTTTGTTTTTAACAAATGCCCAGTATTCAAAAGAAGAATCTTCTATTCACAACAGCCTATAAAAGCTATCTCAATGAACAAACGGCTACACTTACAGACTTGCAGTGTGTGGCTCATGAGGAAAAGGAAGGGCACGAGGCTCCTACGAGGCTCCGTTCGTCATACCCCAGCTGGAAAGCTAAGTTTTGATCCTCTAATTCTATGATCTGCTAATTTTCATTAAATATGCCATTCTTATGTCTCCAAGAGTAATTTGTTCCCGCGGCTCCCGTTTCCCAACCTCCAAGCTGGCTCTGACCCTCGCCTCCCTCAAATCAATCAACAACAGTGGCAAACCAAGTCTGTAGCAGGCGCTGGGCCATATGCGCAAAATAGCACCGCCAGGTTGTTGCCAGGCATGGGACATACCTATTAATCTCATCCATCCTCATGGCCAGCAGACCTGTCAGATGGAGCCTAGTACTTAACATTTTACTTTACAGATCAGTATAGAGGAATCCGATGATGTGCCCATAGTCTCAAAGATCATGAAGTTAAGTGTCAGGATCAGAGAGGGAGCTCTCTGACCCAGAGCTCAGGTTCTTGCTGATTGCACTGCCCTGATCCTCTGATAAGGAAGAGTGAAATATGGCCCCTGTCCTTCAAGGGCAGTCTCACAGGAAGGGATTTTCTGCAGACCAAAATATCAATAAGACAATGGTAATCACAGTAGCAAAAGGTATGCATACTCTAGGATTCAGAGTGTTTCTGATTATCTAAATGGGCCGGGGCAAAGTGTCCCGGCGTCGCTTATTTTTGAGCAGGGACTTGTAGCACAAGAGATGGTTCATTAGGAGAAGGGTCAAGAATCTGCACTGTGCAGATGGAAGAACTGCAGCTGGTCCTTCCAGTGAAAGCCGTAGTGTTCGGGGAGCAGTGGTCGAGCCCCGCTCTCCCTCTTTACACACCTACTCATGCTAGCCAGGTACTCGTTTGCTCTCACCCTTCAGAGCAGATTAGCTTGTGCACATCTCTTCCGGCATCACATTCATGCTTGAAATGACCCATTAAAAACTCACTTCCAGAGGGGGGATTTCAACTCAGAACAACCCTTTCGGGCACAGCCGAACTGCCGCGTGAGGCCCAAGGCGGTACATCTCTGGCCCAGCAGACTGCCGCGTGTTTCTCCTGCAGAGCAGCTGGCAGTGCAAACCTTGCAGCTGAGTGCTTAATGGCTGCACCACCAGGGTTCCTTGAACTCCGTTGTAAGCACCATGAAAGGAAAACACAAATCTGGCCTTCCTCGCTCCCCCTCCCCTCCAGTGGCTAAGCATGTGGCACCACTGGCTGGGACAACCACATCAGCACTGATGGGATCTTATCTGCTCCCTCCTTCTGTAGTTCGTTTCTGAAACCAACTTTGTCGGGGCCTTTTGTCTTGTCTCCTCCACAATCTCCGTGATGGGCAGCACATTTCAAACACTCTGGGGTTCAGCCTGGCCGTCAATCAAGGAGTGGAGGAGGTTTCTCAGGGGCCTTCAGACCATTTCCTGATTGCACTATCTCTTGGGGACAGGGGTTCCGGCACTGCCAATGGATTCCCTGGAAATCCC